GATACTTCTTGATCAAGCATAAAGTCAAGAAAGACGCAATTTGCTGCCAAATAAGTGCTATAGTAAATATCTTTGTGTTTGTTGTCTGTATGTTATATTTGAATATTTAAGAGCATCGAAAATTCAGTGGATATATTTACATTAATAAAGGAGTCAATTTTGCAGAGTTTTTCACGGTCCGGCCGGCAAGAAGCGCATTCAAAAGTCGGCATTCTGGCGTGCTTGAAATATATTGAAACTGTGCGGCACGATTACTAATACCACGAACTTAGTTAGGCTATTCTTTATATCCGCAGGCATTATTCAGAATTGCAGTTAAAATTCCATAGGACAGAGCTTCTATAGATCTCTTGGTTAGAGGATACTTGGTAGCCCTCCTGACACCGCAAACTCCCAGCTGCCTGTCGGGACCGGTGGTAATAGGGGCTATACGGGTGGGACAATTGAGTGGACGGGTAAATGGCAATTGTAGTATATGCTAGGAATTGATGCTCCAGGTAAAGTGGAAGCCTAATTCAGATTAGGTGAAAAATACAAGGAAGGTGTGGAAATGAGCAAGGAGACTTTGAACGGTGTGCGGAATGAATGCATCCTAGCCTCAGATTGGTAAGAAAAGCAAGTGAAGACGAACAACCAATGGGAAGAAGGCAACTGGTCCGAAGGTCATTCCGCAGTGTGTGCGATAGAACTCCATCCAACATAATGGACAGAAGAACACGAGAGTCAAGCAGCGGCACGCGGGACGCCACAACGCAAGCCGGGCAAGACTTTTATGCGAAAAATTGGTTTGAGTGGAAGAGAAAATCCGCAAATAATGAGGCAGTCGAAAGCTACCTCTGTTACTGAAAGTTGATAAAGGGTAAGCCTCATTGTAATCGTTACCGGTGCCGATCCACCTAAGATAGTACCTCTACAATGAATGAGGCAGGCAAAAGCTACCTCTTCTTATGAAAGTTGATGTAGGGAAAGCCTCATTGTCATCGTTACCTGTGCCAATCCGCCCAGGATAGTACCTCCACAATGAATCTGGTACAGGTAATACAGCGCGCGCGTAAATTTAGAAGCAAAATGAGAACGTAATCATAGCTACTGAAATCAAGCCAGTAGGTACAATTGTGGATTCTGTGGGCACGCCTGCCAACTACCTCTTCTAATGAAAGTTGATATAGGGTAAGCCTCATTGTCATCGTTACCGACGCAAATCTGCCCAGGATAGCTCCTATAGAATGAATCTGATACAGGTAATACAGCGTGCGCGTGAATTTAGAAGCATAATGAGAACGCAATCACAGCTACTGAAATCGAGCCAGTAGGTACCATTGTGGAGTCTGTGGGCACGGCTACCAACTATCATCTTACCGATCTTAGCCATGGAAACTGCGGGGACTGTGAGAAGTTCTGTACACACAAGGTTGACTTACGTAATCTGACTGCAGTTGCTTCTGCCGTCGCTAATAGACACT